CCTCTGACACTCCCATCCCGATTATCCGTCACTGAATCAATCTACCTCACAGAGGGCCTTCCCCTCCTGCGCTGTCCCTCCACCCTCCCAAGCATGATGTCCTTCTCCAAGGACCTGTCCCTCCTTGCAACATGTCCATAGTATGTTAGACGGAGCCTCAGAATCCTTGCCTCCAAGGAGCCATCCGGTTTAACCCTTTCCAGGATGAATCTGTTTGTTTTCCTAGCAGTCCATGATATTCTCAGTACTCTTCTCCAGCACCACAGCTCAAAGGCATCAATTCTCCTTCTATCCTCCTTGGTCATTGTCCAACTCTCTGATGCATAACAAGTGATTGTGAAGACCATGGCCTGTATCAAACACACCTTAGTCTCCAGAGAGACACCATTGCTCTTCAGTACTTTGGAGAGGTCCCTAACAGCAGACTTTCCCATGGCAATGCACCTTTTAATTTCCTGGCTGCTGGTGCCAAGACTGTTGACTGTGGAGCCAAGCAAACTAAAGCTGTGAACAATGCCCCATGCCAGTCCATCTCATGTCACCAAAGCCTAGTTATGTCAATATTTATGTGTTCCATTTCTTCCTTAACAATATCTAATTTTTCTACATTCACGGTTCTCACATTCCATGTCCCAATCACTAGTGTCTGCTTACAACTGTTCCTCTTCCTTTGTATTTCCATACTTGAAAGCTCAACCTCAGTTGCCCTTTCTGTTATCTACATGTGTTCTGTTGTACATAGGGTTTTCAGAGGCCTGCTATTTCGGAAGTGGACGGCCAATCCTTCTTCCTAGTCTGTCTTAATCTGAACGTTCAGATTTAGAGAAGTATCAGACAGACCAGCATTTTATAGAAAAAGTGAAAGGTATATCCCTTATTGTGGAGTTAACCATTAGTATCAGTGTTGTTCCTGCCTTTGGCACACGTGTCTTTACCCACTTATTTCCCTGCTCCACCATCCACCAGGATACCCATCCACTTCTACCCACTCCCTTCACATCTATCTCCCATTGACCGGCCCTTGATCTAATAGCTTATATATGAAGCTTCCTTGGCTTCTGTGATTCCAAACACATCAGCTGCTGGTAGTTCCTTATGTTGGGACCAATGTCTCCGAAGTTTAGTGGTAATGTTTCCCCAGCGAAGGCAGTGTGTCCTGTAGAACTGGTGTGTAGATAGGTTTCTCTTGGCCCGAATGCCCGAAAGAATTAGGCTATAGTAGGGAATGGAAATCTGAGTGCAATGAAAACTGTGAAGGGTTCAAGTAGAAAAGTGTCAGGAAGATCAGTTAAAGGTGACCAAAGATGTTCAAGCAAGATTACAATGGACCAGGGAAGCAGTAATTGTTTTATTTTATTTTATTATAATTTTGTGTGTCTGTGTACCGTCAAATCGGATCTGACTGGTACAGGAGAAGATTGTCCCTCCTTTCCCGGCAGGGCATCTGGTGGATTCGAACCATGCACCTCTGGGATTGCAGTGCAGCTTCTTGCCACTAGGCCACCAGAGCTCCCCTGGAAGCAGTAATTGTTAGCTGACATCATCAACCTCAACTCTTTGGACAAGATCCCACACCGTCCTCACAATCTCTGATGCATTTGAGTCCATTGCTACAGTCACAGTGTCAATCTAACTTGTTGGAGATCTTCTGCTCTTTCTCTGACCCTTCACCTTTTCCATGGACAGCCTGACAACATTGCCAAAGTATGTGAGATGAAGTTTCACCATCCTTGCCTCTAGGGAGCATCTTGGTTGCACTTCCTCCAACACAGATCGGTTTGGTCTTATGGCTGTCCTCCAATACAATTCAAAGGCATCGGTTATCTGTCATTCTTACTCGTTCAACTTTCAGACACATAGGAAATAACCAAAAAGACTATGGCTTGGATCAGGTGTACCTTAGTCTTTAGAATGACATCTTTGCTCTTTCTTTAACACTTTTGAGAGGTCTCCATTAGCAGAATTTTTCTAATAAAATACATCTTTTGACTTATTAACTGCTGGTACCATGAGAAGTAATTGTAGATCTGTGCAAAATTAAATTGTTAATAATTTCAGTCGACTCCATTCATCGAGATGCTGGCTATTGGTCCAGTGGTGAGAATTGTTTTCTTGATGTTGTGATGTAATCCATACTTCCGGTTGTAGTCTTTGAGCTTCTGCAGCAACTGTTTCAAGTCCTCTTCACTTTCAGCAGGAAGGCTGTACATCTCCAGAACACAAACTATTGATGAGTATTCCTCCAGATCTGATGCCATTCTTCTTTATATAGCCCAACTTCTCCATTTGTTCACCATCCATTCTGAATAATGCAGGAAGCATCAAAAGACGATAGAAATAAGAGTCCTTGTATCAAAAATAATTGGATGAGGGAGAAATAAAATGCTAAAGAAAAGTAAATTGGGTGACATGGGACCATTTTAGGAAGCAGCATATGATCAAGAATCAATGGTAATGAAGCTTTTGTCCAAAAAGAACAAGGGCACAGTGCATGGTTTAAAATCAGGTTCGTGTCAGGGTTGTATTCTTTCCCCCTAAAGGAAGCAGTAATTAAGTTGGAGGAAGTGAAGGATATTGGACACTGTTGTAGGGGAGGGGAAGTGGATTAACTAAAGCGCAGTGTGTAAACTGTGAGGTAGAACCACATCCTGATCGTGTCCCTGGACGAGGCTCCCCTCCAACATGTACTTCAGATTCTTTAGAGGGCAGTGAAGTCCCAGAGGTAGCAGTGAGCAGGCAGAGATTAACTGAACGAGCCCTGCTAGCAAGAACTGTGGTGTGGAAGATCCAAAAAAGCAGGCTCTAATTCTAGTGTTTGAACAAATTGTTACATTTTTAAAAAAAGTGTTATTTAGATCATTTTCCTAATTGTAAAACAGTAATTACAAGTAAAATCTCAAGAAGCTAGTGATAAAGAAGTCCCTGATAAAATGGAAGGTTTATGCTATATTTAATCTCTGCAGTTCTCGCTTTGTATTCCTGCAGACCATATCTGAATGACAGGTCCCTTTTTTGTTTGTTTTAAAGGTTTTTAAGTGGACTAGTTGGGTTGAAACATCATGACATTAGAGTGCAAAGAAATAAAATGGATGGAGATTTCGCAGGTAGTGTTTGGTAGTTTCTGGGTCTTGCAGAGTCTGAGAGTGAAATCCCTAGTCCCCAAGGTCACGGCGACACAGGCTGGCTGGCTCGGGCATTGGAGGACTGGCATAGAATCCTAGCACTGCTCCTAAACAGATGGGTTATCATAGAGAGCTACTGACTTTCCAGGGACTCAGCCCACACATGACAAGAAATGATACCTGTACTTTTGGGGTACAGGCTTGGTCTCAGGAAAAGTTACCCATCTGATGTAGAACTGGCTTATAAAAAAGGTGTGCCTAATGATTGATGTCAGCATGCCCATTTGCAATGGCTTCCTGAATGGTTACCTCTCCGTGGTTGTTTTGAAGCAGATCCGTGCCCAGAACAGTACTTCTCTAAGGGACGTCCACCGTAGTCTTCCATGCAAATATGGTGAATGGTGCTTTCATGAGGAATTGGTTCAGCTTTGTCATTCCATTAGGTTTAAAATGAGCCATGCCAGAGAGGGCCTCAATGCTGAGAACCACAGACACTCAGACGACAGAGTAAGAGCCCAGTCATCTGACACAGACAGTGAGGCGGGTGACTGAGTCGGGAGCTCACCATCAAGTGCACGACAGGGTTCTGGCAGAGGGGGTGCCTGTGGGCATTTACTGATGAACTAAACAACTTTGTAACATGTTCTCGAGCAGGGCAAAGGCCAGCAGCTGAGGGAGAGACCTGCCTGTGGGTATGAGCAAGGAGCTGTCCAAAGAACCACAGGCTAGCTCATTTCAGATCCTGAATTGTAACCTATTACTTCTCACATAAAGCCCGTACAGTCTGTGAATTCTGTGTGGCTGCTATGGTGAATTAGCATCCGGCAGAGAAGCAGGGTGCTGGGGAAGGATGGCTAGTGTCAATCAGTGAGAAGGTTCGAAAGCAGAGGTGTCCTGTCTGACTTCCACTCACAGCAGTCAGTTCTTGGCAGACGGTGGCTCGCTCTCCCCTTCTTGTGGCCAGATGGACACTCAGCCATGCCACGGTTAGGACACATTTCCCCAGGACTTAAGAGTGTCCTCTATCAGCATGACACCCAGCACGTCTCAACCACCCAGAGCACGCTGATGCTGGACTCAGGAAAAATTCCGAGGCAAAGAAAGCAAAAATGACAGTGAAAACAGCAACAACAACAACAAAATTTAAAAAAAATAGGAAATGGCAACATTTTAATTCACTAATACTACTCCTTCATTTACCCTGACTGGCGGGTAAAAATAAAAATGGTAATTTTCTCAATGTTTCAAACAGAAAGCAAAACTCCAGGGTCAAGACTGATGACTTAGCAATCACCCTTGCTCCCTGCTCCCTCCATCAACAAGTAAAAGCACACAGTTCATGAATTCAGTGTTTGGTCACTGTCAGGCACCATCTGTGTTCCTGGGCGTATGCTCTGCTGACCACACAGCTGGCCCACAAATCCTTGAGAGTCAAGTGAAATGGAGACACATCCACGAAGGTTACCTGAGCTGAAAGCAGACTCCCCCAAAAGACAAAAAGAGTCATTCTTTGGAAAAATAACCCTATCTATAAAGGAATGAGAAGGCTCTCGTTGTGTGGTTGGTACGATTCATTTTAATGATTGTTTGGTCTTTGACGTCAGCTTTTCTCTGTAAGGAAGCAGCTGTATGACTTTTACAAGCAGAAACCAACAGGTCCCTCCAGTGTGTGTACACATGGTTTTCTTCACCCTTGAAAACCCGCCTCATGATTTCCATCATGGTTCAGAAGAGTCAAGAAAATGATTTCAAGTATTCAATTCCTATCAAAAATTGGTATCAAAAGTAATAAAGGACCTAATTTCTGTATAATTCCACGTTTTTAAAAAATAACTTAAGAAGCAAGAGGTCCCGGCCCTTTCCTTGTATAAATACTGTCTAGAGTTTCTTAAGACAACGTGGCGAAGAGTCTGTGTTCAGCACCTCAATCATCGATCTTAACGTTGGGAACGTCTCCGATACTGACGGTAGTGTCTTATAAGAAGGTGAAATACTGGAAGACAGAAAACAGAACAGGGGCATCAAAGTTAACACAATCTTCCTAAAAAAGCAAAGCTTATGTCCTACTCATTCCTATTACTATATTAACTTTCCAAACCCTCATTTGATGTCTTCCATATCAAATGGATTTGGCCGTGCAGGAACGAGAGTGGTGAGCAGACGTGCCCCTCCTGGAGCCGTGGACTGCTCAGGATCTTGGGGACACACAGGCCCAGCACATCATTAGACACAGGCCCCTAGCCGCCAGAGCCGACTCGACAACAGCAAATCATGACCCTCTTGAAACAGAACCAGCTGATTTCTGCAGTAGCCATACACCACATGTCCCACTTACAGAGAGCAAAGCACAGTTGACTTTGAAGGTGAAGATACAGCCTTGGTTCTAGCTCGTGCTTCAGCTCCTTCTCTGATCCCTATTTTCTTTGTTTGCCATACTGTTATCTTTACCTCAGAGTTATCAGAAAGACTGAATGAAATAATCTGTGTCAAAGTGCCTTGAGAAATGAGAACTGGACAATCCCAGAGAGTGTCATTCTGCTGAACCCTTTCAAATCATGTGAAAGAAGGGACATGGCCTGATTGTATCATTTAAAAATGCGGAAGCTAGTAGACCTGAAACAAGAATGTAATGGGACAAGGCATACATCACAAAAAATGTGAAGTTTGCAATGCCTACAAACTGGAAAAGGGAAGATTACAGGCCAGAGCGTCTCCATTCCCAATAAAACATTAGTGGCCTAGCATGATGGTTTATTTTATGTGCCCACTGGGCAGGGCTACTGTACCCAATGCTTTGGTCAAATATGTGTCTAGATGTTGCTTAAAGGGATGGACACCAACAAGCAGTTGACTTTAAAGGAGACTGCCGGAGAAAGCAGGCACATGATAACCTGAGATGATGTAGTTGGGTCGCATCCAAACAGCTGAAGGCCTCAGAGCAAAATGCTGAGGTTCTCACGAGGGCAAAGAAATTCTATCTCCTGCAGGATAATCTCGAGTCACTCACTGAGCTGCCAGCCTGCTGCCCTGTCCTGTACATTTCAGATGTCAACGCCATCTTTTCCTGAGTTTCCCTGACAGCCTCACAATCACGTGACCTGATCTGAAAACCAATCAGTCTCTCTATCTCTATGACGCTGTCATTGTCTTTATTTGGAGACTTAATACTTTGGGTATGTTGTCAGGAGGGGTCAGTCCTTGGAAAAAGACCTTGTGCTGGGAAAGGTGGAGGGCCAGAGAAAAAGAGGAAGACCCTCAATGAGACAGACTGACACGCTGATGGTGACAGTGGGCTCAAGTGTATCAGGGATGACGAGGGTGTCACAGGACCGGCCAGGATTCAGATCTGTTGTTCCTATGAATGTTCGCTATGGGTCGTACTTGACTCAGTGGCATCTAACACCACCACTACCACCAAAGAAAGAAAGACAGAGAGAGAATAGATGTATATACATCATCCTGAGTTAGTTTCTCCAGAGAACTCTGGCTGGGAAGACTGGCTGCTCATTACAATAGATTTGTCTGAAAGGCAAACCTGCAGGTGGTCACCAAATCCAAACCTACTGCCCCTGAGTGAATTCTGACTCCCAGAAACTCCACGGGACAGAGCACTGTTCCCAACGCTGTAATCTTTGCACAAACAGACGGCTCAGTCCCTCTCCTGTGGAGCAGCTAGTTGGTTAGAACTGCCAACCTTCTGGTTAGCTTCCAAGTGCTCAATCACTGTGGCACCAGGACTCTGTGATGATGGTTGGATGCAAAAAGCACCGAGAAGGAGCAAGAAGAGGCATGGTCCAGTGTTAAGACCTGCTTCTTGTTACTGACTGAAGAGCCCTGGTGGCCCAGTGGTTGAGCATTTGGCTGTTAAGTGAAAGGCTAGCAGTTCTGACCCAGCAGCTGCTCCACAGGAGACAGATGTGGCAGTCTCCTGTGAAGGCCAGTCTCTGGAACCCTGTGAACAGTCCTATGCTGCCCGAAGGGTCACTGTGGGCTGGAAATGATCTGAGAGGAATAAGTTATGTGGGAATTTTTCTTGTTATTTATTAACTATGAAAATATGTGCAAGTTAAATTCCCACACTCCATCCCTTGCTTCTGTACAGGACCCTGGAAATATCACAGCATCTGCTGCTTTCCTCCCACAGTGAGAGTTAGGAACAATCATCAGCCAGCATTCACGGATGCACAGGTATTTCCTGTATAAATTACAATAAAGTATCCCCTTTACTATGGAGGCCTGGTGGCCTAGTGGGTTAAACCCACCAGCTGCTGGGTGAGAGAAAGATGGGCATTCCTCTCCCATGTGATTTACAGCCTCTGAAAACTCGCTGGAGGGTTAGTTATGAGTCTGTTCCAACCTGATGGCAGTGAGTTGGGATTTTTCAGTTCCCCAAATCTAGAAGGTTGTGAGTAAAGAACTTATAAGGCTAAGTGACACCAGCTGGTCTGAAAGTCTGAAATGGGTCAGTAAAAAATGTCGAGAGTCACGCCTGAAGAGTGACCCGTGGAGAGTGGGCTGGGAGGTCAATCAACAAAGAGAAATGAATTATCCAATCAAGAATGGAGGATGTACATGCCACTTTTCTTTCACAAATTATTTTCCTGATTTTCCCATGTACTCTGTATCCATACAGTTACTCTTTGTTGTTGTTGTTGGGTGACATGGAGTTGAGTGTGACTCAGCACCGCTATGAACAGCCCACCTGAAACCTGCCCTCTCCTCACCATCTGTGAGACATCAGAGCTCACTGCTAAAGTCATGGTGTCCATCCATCTCCTTGGGGGTCTTCCTCTCCTTCCTTGGCTGACCCTGCTCCTTGATATCCCTTTCCAAGGAACAGCCTCGCCTAAGCTACATGTACAAAGTATGAATTATGAGGCTTCATCATCCAGCCTCCAAGGAGCACTCTGGATGCACCCTTTCTAGGACTGTTTGTTCTTTGGCAGTCCATGGGAGGATCTTAGATGATAGCAAAACATTTCAACTTGTATTAAAATGAGAACAAGAATTTTAATTATTATAGATCTCCAAAAAGCACTGCTACTATGTGTCACTGAGGTGAATCTAAGGCAAAGCAAGCTCAAATGACAGAGTAGAAGTGCTCCACATGGCCTTTCAGGCTGTAACCTTCATTGAAGCAGATTGTCAGTTCTCTCTTCCAACTGCCCAGCCAGCTTCCACCAGAGTGCCTTTCTAAGAAGCCACAGGAGGGTCTGTTTCTCTGACTCCATTTAAAATACACATCTGCTCACCCTGTCAAATACTTACCTTTTCAAGTTCATCCAGCTTTTAGCTATTTTGCTGAAGGCCTCTGAACCAGGGGCTGTCATAGCTTCAAAGTCAACTAACTGAAAAGACACAAATTTAGAAGCATGATTAAGTACAGAGGAGAAAGACTCAGCTTAAACACAGGTCAAGTTGTAGTAAAATTAAAACCCACAGACTAGGATCTCACACACAACTCCACGTACCTTCCCTTTGGGAATCTTTCCTGCCACTTCTTTTCCACTCGCCATGAGAGCTCCCACGATCACTGAGTAAGCTATGACGCTGTTGAAATAATAGTAATAAAAGGAAAAACACCCAACTAAACAATTATTAACCAATCCTCATCTACGGGATTCTAAACAGATACTGTGTATAAAGCTTGCCATGCACTTTCTGTATAAAAGATTTCCTGAAGAATTCTTTGGATATAAAAATTTTTTTAAGCATTTTTATTTGCCTTAAAAATAACTACTCATGTATTAAGGGCAACTTCTCTTCCTCATCTGAGGAAAAGAAAGTGTGTGTTTCTTTCTATTGATAGTTTTCTTTCTACTTAGATCTTCTATTGTAGTAAGATAATGAGTTATGAAAACATGCCCATGTTTATATTTTGAATAGCTTTATGTGACTTGGCTTTAAAATAGATATGCACAACATACTGTGTTGAAACAATCTTGTTTTTTTCAAGCTTGAGAAACGTTGGTCTCTAAAGATGAAAAGCAGAACCCAGGCTCAGAATGTACACACTGGTCTGAGTATTGATATCCTAGATGTCTCCTCCTGGACATACACAGATCATCTGGATTTGGATAATAACATGCACTGACTGTGCAGTACTGGGAAGTTGTTAAGTCACAAAGAGAAGATGAGGCTCTTGTGTTCGGAGCACATGGTCCCAAAGACAGAGAGGCTCAGGGGAGAGAGGGTGAGGGCACAGTGCCGGAGAGGTGAGAAAGGAGTGAGACTTAGAGGAGATGGGGTGTGCCCTGAGAGGTGAGGAAGGAGTAAAGTTCAGGGGAGATGGTGAAGCTGCAGTGTGCCCTGAGGGCTGAGGAAGAGTGAGGCTCAGGGGAGACAGGGTGAGGGCACAGTGCACCTGAGAGGTGAGGAAGAGTGAGGCTCAGGGTAGACGGGGTGAGGGCACAGTGCACCTGAGAGGTGAGGAAGAGTGAGGCTCAGGGGAGACGGGGTGAGAGCACAGTGCACCTGAGGGCTAAGGAAGAAGTGAGCCTCAGGGGAGACGGGGTGAGGGCACAGTGCACCTGAGAGGTGAGACTCAGGGGAGATGGGGTGAGGGCACAGTGAACCTGAGGGCTGAGGGATGCCAAGAGATTTCTGGAATGGTCCACCAGGCAAATTTCACACAAGCTGCAGTCATTTAAAAGACAGAGGGCAACAAGGAGGGACAAGAAGGCAAGGACAGGGCCTGAAGAGAAGGGCAAGCAAGTGCTGTGACAGGGAGGCAGGGGGGCAAAGAGCAAGGGGGTGGGGAGAGTGAGGACGGAAGGAACCACTAAGGCAGACAGAGGGTTAGGAGGTAAACCAGTGAAGGTCCAGCTGAACACTGGCACGGTGGAACTGAATTCCTTTCACCACCACCTGTGAGGCGAACAAGGGGAGCCAGGATCACACTACTGTCTAGTAATAGTTAAAAAATCAAAAGACACCATGAAAGCAAGAAGAGAGTGGAAGGACATATATCAAACACTCAAAGAACACAAATGTCAACCAAGAATACTGTACCCAGCAAAATTATCCATCAAATATGAAGGAGAGATCAAGATTTTCCCAGAAAAGCAGAACCTAGGAGAGATTGTAAAAACAAGACCAGCGTTGCAGGAAAGACTGAGAGATGTCCTTTTTACAGACATAGCACAGAAAGCTGCATGGTCCAAAGTAACTAGCAACAACACCAAAAAGAACTCAACAAAATAATAGCAATAAAACCTAGCCTCTCAATAGTCACACTGAACGTGAATGGTTTAAATGCACCCTGAAGAGAAAAAGAGTAGAAGATTGGATAAAAAAACAAAATCCATCAAATTTTGTCTACAAGAGACATACCTGAAAAACAAAGATAAAGACAGGCTAAAAATAAAAGGGTGGGGAAAAATATACCAAGCAATTGGCAACCAGAAAAAAGAAGGATAACGATACTAATCTCTGATAAAATAAATGTCAATGTAACAACTATCACAAAGGACAAGGAAGGTCACTACATAATGCTAAAAGGGTCAACAGAACAAGAGAACATAACAATAATAAGTATTTATGCACCAAAAGAAAGACCTACAAAATACATAAAACAAACATTAACTGAAAAAGGAAATAGACAACACTACTATACTGCTTGAAGACTTCAATACACCCCTCTCAAGAAAAGATAGAACTACCAGAAAAAAAACTCAACAGAGATACTGAAGAATTAAACCACACAATAAACTAACTTGACCTCATAGATATTTATAGTCTAATGCACCCCAAAAAAGCACAGTATACCTTCTTCTCCAACGTGCATGGAACGTTCTCCAGAATAGAACACATTCTATGTCATCAATAAATTAAAAAACATAGAAATAATACAAAGCATCTTTTCAGACCATAATGCTACAAAATTAGAAATTAAAAATAGGATGGTAAAGGAGAAAAAAACCCATACATTTGGAAGCTGAACAACACCTTGCTTGAACATGACTGGGTACTAGAAGAAACAAAAAATGAAATTAAAAAGTTTCTTGAAACAAATGACAATGAAAACACCACTTACCAAAACCTCTGGGAAACAGCCAAAGCAGTAAT